TTCTTCTTCTTCTCCTATATTATTACTATTACTCTTCAGTATTATCACTATCATCATTCTTATTTTCATTCGTAATATTATCATTACCAGCATAAGTAGTAAGAGTAGGAGTACTACTACTACTACTACTACTACTACTACTACTACTACTACTACTACTACTACTACTACTACTACTACTAGTAGTAGTAGTGGTAGTAGTAGTAGTAGTAGTAGTAGTAGTAGTAGTAGTAGTAGTAGTAGTAGTAGTAGTAGTAGTAGTAGTAGTAGTAGTAGTAGTAGTAGTAGTAGTAGTAGTAGTAGTAGTAGTTAGTAGTAGTAGTGAAAATGGTGAAATCAACACTATTACTAGGTTATTTAAGAGGCGGGGCCTCCTAGTTTAACTTCTGTCTCCGAAGGACCGAGCCAACTGGGAAATTCGTGTAAAGTTTCGTGTAAAGTGCCTTTCCCAATCACACAACGTCGGACAGAACCGCAATCTCACGATTACGAGTCCGGTAGCCTAACCACTAGACTTCCGACACCGTAGTAGTAGTAGTAGTAGTAGTAGTAGTAGTAGTAGTAGTAGTAGTAGTAGTAGTAGTAGTAGTAGTAGTAGTAGTAGTAGTAGTAGTAGTAGTAGTAGTAATAGTAGTAGTAGTAGTAGTAGTAGTAGTAGTAGTAATAGTAGTAGTAGTAGTAGTAATAGTAGTGGTTGATGATGATGATGATAGACATCATCATTATCATTATTACTATTCTTATTGAAATTATACCTTCACTTCCACGGACCTGACGTCCTGCTTTGGTATCGTCAAGTTGAAGTGGATTACTTTGCTATAGGGGTCTACCGAGGGGAAGCACAGACCTTCAGAACCGTACACTTGTCCATGTACCTGGCGAAACAGAAATATTGGAAGACTGAGTTGAACTCTTTCATTTAACTGTGGAAACAAACATTGGAGGTTTGGGCTTAACTCTTCCATGTACCTGGGGAAACAGAAATATTGGAAGACTGAGACTAACGCTTTTTAATACCCGAGGAAGACAAAGAACGACCTACCTACACAGAATGGCCTGACATCTTTGTAACATATAAAACAATACAATCCGAGCTGATCAAGAAAACTGACAACAAGAAGGAGTGGGGTGCCATGATCGTCAATGTCTTCACACCTGACACATGAAGAAGGTTGTGCTTAAAATATAAATAAGTCTCTCACATGCAAATTTCCACTGCACAACAACAACATCGATGCTGCTGATGCTGCTGCTGCTGCTGCTGCTGCTGCTGCTGCTGCTGCTGCAGATGATGATGATGATGATGATGATGATGATGATGATGATGATGATGATGATGATGATGATGATGACAACTCACAGAAATATTTTGCATCTTGAAGTTGTAAATAGCAATCTTGATCTTGACCTCTTCTAGCCGCGTGACCTTGTAGGGCATGCGAAGGTCAACGAAAAATGTCTGTCTCACTTTTTCTTCAAATGGCCTGGACACGCAAACGCCCCTTTTGGCAGATATACCCACGGCAAGGAAGGACCATGTGGTGATGGAGTCAGGTAGTGTCGTGTTTAGTGTCAGTTGCCCGGTACTGGAGATTTGAACGCGGGAGAAAATTATAAATGAATTATATATACACACACACACACATACACATATATATATATATATATATATATATATATATATTTTGAGGCAAAGTGACAAAAAAGAGAATTACGGAGAGACATAAAAATAGAAAAACGTAGAAAGACAGAAATAGAGTAAATAGATAGATAGATAGATAGATAGATAGATAGATAGATAGATAGATAGATAGATAGATAGAGAGAGAGAGAGAGAGAGAGAGAGAGAGAGAGAGAGAGAGAGAGAGAGAGAGAGAGAACTAGAGGGAAAGCAGGACTGTGTGGGCGTGTTTGTATGCGTGTGTGTATGTGTGTGAGTGTGTGAGTGTGTGTTTCGTGTCTGTGTTTTAGAGAGAATAAAAGAGAGTGAAAGTGAGAGTGTCTGTTGGGGGGTGGGGTGGGAGGGGGGGGGTGAGA